GGAGGCTTTCTCAAAGCTAACTGATGATTATCAGTTTTGACTACCAGATGGTGTAGTGGTCAATAGCTTAGTCTACACGTGACTAAGCTAGTACTAATAATTGGTACTCATCTTTCATACACTATGATATCCGCACACGCGACATTTTCCAACCCATTCCTCCTACTCTGCTCCTCTCCTCTCATCCTCCTTTCTTTCTCCCTCTTCTTCAACTCCCCCTACTCTCCTCCTACTTCCTTCCACCTCTTCCCCACGTCTCCTCCCCTCTTTCTCCTCCTCCTCCTCTCTTCTCCTCCTCCTCCTTCTCCGCACTCACGGATGCATTCCTGCATGTTACACGGCTCGTGGACGACCGTCTCCGCCTCCTCCGTCTCCTCCTCCCACTCTCTACCTCACCACCTCCTCCCTCATCCTCATCCCCCTCTTCTTCACGCCTCCTCCTCCTCCTTCTCCGCACTCACGGATGCATTCCTGCATGTTACACGGCTCGTGGACGACCGTCTCTGCCTCCTCCGTCTCCTCCTCCTCCCCCTCTCTACCTCACCACCTCAATAATATAGACTAACATGACACGGACTGTTATCACACAGGAGTGTCATAATATAGACTAACATGACACGGACTGTTATCACACAGGAGTGTCATATTATGACACGGACTGTTATTACACAGGCGTGTCATATTATGACACTCCTGATAATATCCAAGGGGCAAAACCCTATTTTTGGGGGTCAACCAGACATGGGATGTAGTAAAGGTTGTTTAGTATCAACGTGTTTAGAGGACCTCCCTGAACAACTTCCAGGTGGACTACCCTAAAAATATGCTGCCAAAAATGGTTATGCAAATCACTACCAAGCCCATTAAATGTGGTATCATCTTGTAGAGAATTTAATTCCCTTTAATATGGTACTACACACATGGTGAAAGGAAGTTATATTCAAAAATTATCTTCAAAATTGGTCAATATTAGTTTAACATGGCGGTCATGTAGAAAAATTGCCGCCATTTTATAAGTAGCATATTTTCAAAGTAGTCCACATGGAAGTTAATCAGGGAGGTCCCCTGAACATGTTGATACCAAACAACTTTTTACTACATCCCATGTCTGGTAAACCTGTCTTGCCCACTGAGGATAATATCGCAGACAGATCGCTAGCGTTGGTACAGGATCGCGTGATCGTGAGAGAGCAGGCGAGACCGTGGTAGACGGTCACACATTCGAGGAACCTCATCATTATAGACGCACATTACTCGAATATTAGAATTATTAATATTAATATTAGAAATATTAGAAATATTAGAATATTAGAATTATTAATATTAATATGAATATTAATTAATTATTATATTATATAATATTATATAATATTAATTAATTATTAATATTAGAAATATTAGAATTATAGAAGGTTTTTATAATATAACGAGAGGGACTGATCGATATTCGTGATTGATTTTGATTGTATCGATGATTACTCAGTAATCATGTCGTTACCACGTTACGTTATTGTTCATCTAATCACAGATCGCAATACTTCACGGATTTATACCAATTAAATCTCATTGCAGAATCGTCACAACATATAGAACCAATATGTTACGTATAGACATGATATATTATATATATATATATATATATATATATATATATATGTGTGTCGCCATGGCCAAGTTGTTCAAGAGCAAATATGATAATTTATGAAGAAAAGCAGGAATGTCATGTGCATGCCTGCCATTCCTCTCCGCACACGAGAACGTTTGTGAAGAGCTTTTTCTCGTGTCTGATTCGACATGAAGGTCTATACAGACATGCAGATAGACAGACATGCAGATATACAGACATGCAGATAGACAAGCGCTGGATTTTCTTCGAACATAAATCATCATATTTGGCCGGTGAATGAAGCGCCATCTACCGGCGCGTGCTCTTGTCGCGTTAGAACATTGACTTGCGCATCCGTTCTAGTCGCAACAACTGGTAGTATTATTAGCTACAGTAGATGCTGAAGCGTCACGGCGACGGGCAGCGTCGCGCATGCGCATCTCATGTGTATATAGCGCCGTCTTGCGGCCGGTATGCGCATGACATGTGCAGGTAATGTCAGATAGCAGAAGAATTATTGTAGACAAGGTCAGACAGTTCAGAGAGAGAGGGAGAGAGAGAGAGGGAGAGAGAAGAGAGAGAGAGAGAGAGAGAGAGAGAGGAGAGAGAGAGAGATAGAGAGAGACAGAGACACACAGAGAGAGAGAGAGAGAGAGAGAGAGAGAGAGAGAGAGAGAGAGAGAGAGAGAGAGAGAGAGAGAGAAACGGAGAGAGAGAGGAAGAGAAGAGAGAGAGAGAGATGAAGAGAGAGGAGAGAGAGGAAGAGAGAGAGAGAGAGAGAGAGAGAGAGAGAGAGAGAGAGAGAGGAAGAGTAGAGAGGAGGAGAGAGAGAGAGAGACGAGAGCTGTATTCAATTAGTAAAAAGTATACAGGCTTATAAACGGTTCACATAGAACCGTGAATAAAATATGAATAGAATGATATGATAGATAGAGGAGATATCTAGAAGATAGTAAACTAGATAGATAGATTGATAGATGATAGAGTGATAGATAGATAGATAGATAGATAGATTAGTTAGATAGATTAGATAGATAGATAATAAATAGATAGATGAGATAAGATAATAGATAGATTAGATAGATTTCTTAGATAGTAGATAGATAGAATAAATATATAGCATAGATAGATAGGATAGTAGAATGGATAGATAGATAGATAGATAGACTAGATAGGTGAATAGATAGGGTAGATAGATAGATAGATAGATAGAATACGATAGATGTGATAGATAGATACGATAGATTAGATAGACTGATAGATAGATATATAATAGATAGATAGATAGATAGAAAAAATAGATAATAGATAAATAGATAGATAGATAGATAAGATAATAAATAGATTAGATAATAGCATAGATAGCAAATGATGATACGATTAGATAAATAGATAGATAGATAAGATAGCTAGATAAATAGGTAGAGAGATAGATAGATAGATAGATAGATAGTAAGAGAGTTAGCTGATAGGATAGATAGATATGATAGATAGATAGGTAGAGGATTCGATTAGATAGATACGATTAGATAGATAGATAGATTAGAGCTAATAGATAGAGAGATAGCATAAAATAAGATAAAGTGGATGATGATATGATAGATCGATAGATATGATAGATAGATAGATAGATAGATAGATAGATAGATAGATGAGATAGATAGATAGTTAGATAGATAGATAGATGATAAATAGATTGATAGATAGATGAGATGATATGATAAAGGTGTGTAAGTACCAGCGCAGGCGTCAGATACACACGATACTGCAAGAGAACTCACGAACTCAGGAACAAAAGCGCTACACCAGGAATATCAGTTTATATGATCGGTGTAAGCACAAGACAGATAGATCCGCAGATCGGAGATTTTAGCATTACCACTCAACTCACAAGTAGCACAGTGACTCACGGTATACCACCACACCACACCACACACCAAAGCACCGACCCAAGTGGCCCCGATATTATTCCCATCACGCGAGATGGTCACCAAGTTCAGCGCAGTATCTATACGGGGCAGAGATATATAGGAAAAATTCAGACATGACGTAGACAATAATGCCAACTTTATGAAGACTTGCCCCGTGTTGGAGACTATAGGGCAATATTATAATATATGTATAAAAGTATTGAAATTATCTAGAATTGGCGCAAGGAGAATTCGAAAGTTTTATAAATAGTGTAGGAGGATTATGAAGTTTATAATTTTGTAGGCAACTTCATCAAATTTAGAAAATAAGGTGTATGAAGGAATTCAAAGTTTAAAATATGCGTAGCAAGACTTTAAGTTCATAAAATGGTAAAGGGAAGACATGAAATTATAATTTGCAGAGTTAGATAACCCACATATACATTATCATAGATGTGCAGAAATTTAAAGCTATGGACTAATATGAAGCATAAATGTTGTAGATAGCAGCCCGAGCAATAGTAAGAAATATCACTTAGCTGACAGCTTAACACACTAGACGCTCATACATTTCTTTCGTAGGCAACAGTAATTGGTCGCGCGTAGGATGTATGTCAGAGCAGTGAGCAAACCGC